GGATTAAACTGTATTTAAAAAAAAAAACAACCACACTGTTGAATGAACAATTTACAGAATTCTTCATCTAACACTCATTTCCAACTGACCAGCTTCTAGATGTGTCACATACACATATATATGGCAGTAGTCATATTTACAGTATAGAAGCTGTAACAGTGTTTCAGTACTTTACAAAAACATGCACATACTACTACTACTACTACTACTACTACATAACGTCATCTTTCGTCCACTCGACAAAGTCACTGACAGCACTGCATCCTTTCTCTCCTTGCTATGTTTGCTAAAAACTAATTTAAAATGCTCATTCACCGATACTCTCTGATAAACTAACTGTTGCACTGTTGACCGTCAGAAAATACAAGTAATGTATGGAAAAATGCCTTTTTCAATCACAACTTTCCAAGAGGTGCCTTTTCTTGCACCAATTTTTGTACTTAACACTCAGTTCATAAGGAAAATAAAGCTAGACATCTAGGATTTAATGTAACACATCAGACGTACATTCTGTATGAGGGGTCATCTGATACTCTGGGATTTTGTCCCAACTGTCCCATTCCAAGTTACATCTTTGATGTGGCTTAACCACATCGCCAGAAATTAGTATTTTATGGTAAATAGCAGCTCAAAGGTTTTATGTTGAGTTGCCACTTTCAGCTGCAGGTGCCACAGCCTGTGCTGTGGAGCACTGGTCACTTCAGCCATTTGGTCCCCAGCAGAAGACTGGGCTGTTTGTAGCTGCCATCTCTGGTGCCAGACAGGCAAAGCAGCCCAAACTCAAGTGCCAGCAGGAACCAGCAGCTGCTGGCCGGCAGGCAACCTGTTCAAAGTTGTTTGTTTTAATGGGGCTGTTGGTGCTAAGTCCAGCTGACCACATCAAGTTGAGTAAGAGGAACTGCTAATGTAGTTCCAGGGTCCTGGAGGGTAAAAACACAGACTAGTGGCATCAGTGTACACTATTAGACATTAGCAAACATGAGCATCTGAGCCATGCTTGACTTGGAATAAATACGTGTCAGTACTTTAAACCAGCAGTTTGAATAGCATTCCCATTCAGCTTTTTGGTAAATGACCCTCTAGGGGACTGTAATTTATGAATCTTTTGTATGACCTTTTGTATTTTGTATATATTAGGAAGGAGTATGAAAAATGTTAGAGTTCACTTTAAATGTTGTTTGTTTTTAGACAACTCATTAATCATTACTGACACTGTGTACCATTGTAAATGTGCTGTGGTTAGCTCAGCAGCCTAAAGAAGTAGCAAAGTGACTTCTTGCGCTTGCGTTTTCCTTTTAAATCCTGTATTAAAGTGACCATTAAAGTGACTTAGCTGGTGCAGCCCTCCCCCGGACTGACCGCGTCCATTGTCGTCATGTCAGTACTGACTTTCAAGGTGAAACAAACATCTGAGCGCTTATCCAGCAGCACTCAGAACAGTAGAGACATATTGTACCTCAGACAGGCAGAGAACAGCAACTATGTACCTGAGGTTAGGTGAAAGCAAACAAGTACTACATCATGACATTTTTAAAGTGATGCATTTAGTGTTATAAACAAATAGAAATTTAAAAAGCTGATTAAGAATAATTAAATAAAGTCTATATGTAGAGTTTCCATTTTATAAATCACTTTTTTGGGGGAAGAGTCATTCTAGTGTCTAACTTTGCACAGTTCAATTTTAGTCCCCACCTAAATTTCTGGATCTAAAATTAAAGGACTGAAAGTGGGAATTTTAAATATTTGGCTGTGCCAATTATGCAGGGTGGGGGTTTTTTGTTTTGTTTTTTTCCCCCAGAACAAGCTTTTTTCTTTGTTTATCTTTATGTCCATTATTTGCATCTCTGTATTTTATGGCTTTTTAGCCCATCAAGCAGCAGCAGGAGGTCTGATTGGCCTGCTGCTTTTTGGCAGGAGTCTGGTCCTGTCAGCACACTGGTGAATTATTATTCAAATTGCTCTAAAATGCTATGAAGGGGTTGTTCTCAGTCCCTCTGTTTTAATTTATGCACATACCTTTTTCAATTTGAAATGTCCTTCTGTCTTTTGCAGGCGAGTAAAGTAAAACCAGAGTAAAACACAATTACTGGACAATTCAGCAAAGCCAGGACTTATTTTGAAATACATAGTTTAACACTTAAAATGAAACCAGCAAGAATAAGAATAATCATTATCATGTTTTCTTTTGCATTAATTTTTTTGTTCTTTATTATTAAAAATATTACCTCTG